GCCTTATTTCTGTGTACTTACAGTGCCGCGTTGGACGTACTATAAACTAGTCCCCTACCCCCTGCTTATACTTTCTTTTAAGAAAATGCGATTGGATAAACTCAATTTATTAGTGATTCAAAATAATGAAATAAAATAGGATAAAATATATTTAAGAATTTTGTTTAGTGTTATTATTTTATTATACACTTCATAATTTTATATTTCTTATTATGCTCACAACGCGCTGTAGGCTTCTGAGGGCGGTGGGCCCTGGGAAACTGCCCCTTTTGTCCAGTGGATAGGCCCCCCAGCATGACCAGGTGATTAGGGCGCTTGACTCGCAATCTAAGGGTCGCGGGTGCGAATCCCCGACCCACCAAACATGCTCGCCCTTTCAGCCGTGGGGGTGTTATAATGTGACGATCAATCCCACTATTCTTTGGTAAAAGAGTAGCCCAAGAGTTGGCGGTGAGTGGTGATGACTAGCTGCTTTCCCTCTAGTCTTTCGCTGCTAAATTAGGGACAGCTAGCGCAGATAGCCCTCGTGTAGTTTGCGCGAAATTCAAATCCAAAACTATTGGATAAAACGGTCCCGTGTACATATCAGTAAGTGTTATAACTTTTTATGGGGTATAGTTTTGTCTGTACCTCGGCGGGATAGCGGTAAATTTTCGGATTTACAACGCTAGATTTAGGGGTTCGATTCCCCTCGGTGGACGCAGCAGATATTCCGATGTGGCTTTATAAAAAGGAAACAAACAAACAATTTCGTGTATTGTAATATTTGATTTGTTATAATTTTTCATTTTGTCTGTACCCAAACTTCCTTTGTATATCTGCTTACTATGTCTTGGAAAACAGATCTCTCTTATCACGAAACAGTTAAAATAATTATGTAACTCTTACTAGCCTCAAATTGACTTGGAAGTTATTTTTAAACCTAATTTCAGACTAAAAAATGTTTTCCTCTACAAATACCGTGTGCCGTCTACTTAGAAACCTTCCCAACTCCTTTATCTAAACAGGGCATCCGATTTATCCCTCCAACTTTAAAATTCTCTCAACAGCCAAGTATGATACTGAACTTTTAATAAAAGAAACATTATACATAAACACTCTTCTTCCATCCCTAAATAACACACATTCTTCATTTGATTTAAATCTATTTTAAATTAACTGTTTCATTTGTTCCACATTATTTTCACTTCTTTTATTATACTGTTATGTCTCTGGTCCTTGGTTAATTTTCCGTAGAAATTCTTTCCAAGAAACTCCAGCGATACAAGTCCTTTCTTAAATAAAACTAGTTTATTCTTTCTCAATACAACTTTGCAATACATTTAATTTCCACAGTTACTTTAACTTAACCACACGCTATAATTCACAACGATTCACGCACTTTACTTACAGTCACTACCGCGCTTGACTCAATTGTCCATCTCTGTTTGTCTGCAATTCAATTAATTTATGCTGTCACTTCTCGCCGGTCTTATATACTATAAGAGCGCGTGTCTAGCAAACACTCTAGTCTTCAGGAACGTTCGAGATACTCATTACGTGTTACCAGAGTCACGTGACTTCCGCTGTCGGGACAGTCCTTTTCAATTACCAATAAAGTAATCTTCATAAGAATACTGGATGAGGGATACTTTTACATCTGACCATAAAAAATATTTAAAAAACTGACCAGTAGTTTCAAACAAATACCAGCTTGAAACACTTCAAAAAAATGTTTTACGTCTTGTTTTGCCACACTTTTGAATACTGGGGCAAAATTTGCATAATTTAATTCACAGGGACCTGTGGTGGTAGCCATAGCCTCTCTGTTGCGGGTCCTCTAGTATTATCTGGCTGAGATGCCATTTGCATTGTCGATATGGCACAGTATACATACTCAAGGACTATGGCTGGCAGTCTTCTTTGGTTGATGTCTGCTGTCTCACCTGGTACAGAAACAGCTCTGACTGGCATACTTTGTCCACCAATGGCTCATCCAATCCTTCTTGGCTGGTCTCGAGTGGCCTCGACAAAAGCTGGTGCTCAGTTACTCTGGCTGTTCACAGCCGGGATCCTGTTAAGACTGTCCACATAACTTCAGAGAGGAGTATGGTAAATCCAGAAGACTATGAGGATATTATCAGTATAGAACAGGAAACTAAAGGAAAACAAGTTAGGTGAGATTTTGGGAATATTCGATGACAGTATAAATAGTTAAACGCTTTCAAAAGAATGCCTACAGAACTACCTGAAGCCTAAACCAAGGAAGGATCATACACAAATAAATGGCTACCACATCATTACAATGCAGAATGTGCATGGCAAGCTCCTTGAAAAAAAATTGATGCTTGATTTGGAAGAGAGAAAAATCCTGCCAGAGACACTCGGAAATTGTAGGACAAAGAAGGAAACATGGGCTAATGTAGGAGTCTTTGCCTACGATGTGTATGGGGGTTTCAGAAAAAGTTTGAAATGGTGGCTGCTGTGCTGTGCTTAGAGGATGCTTACAATAGTGTGAAATATGACCACTTGGTGCACATCCTGAAGCATTTGAGGCATTTTGTGAGAATTACAAATGCTTTGGTGAACGAAAATAATAATTTTTTGTGAATATTCATGTTTGACACACATACATGTCAACTGAAGAAACGACATGCACACTAGCAAATGTATAACGGAAGTTGCATAGAGACAACTGTCCAAATAAGGAAATGGAAATATTAAAGCAAATGTTGGAATGCATTCCAAGCTACGATATGTAAAATCTAAACCAGCGGTTTGTCTTATCTACATTAAACAGACGTGATCGTAACAGAGAGAAAGGCTAGAAAAGTTTATATTATCGACACTAACTAAAGGAAGTGAGTTCTATGAAAAACGACTGGCAGAACTTTGATTGGAAAGAGATGTGGAGGAATACATGCAAATAGGCTGCCAACAGCTTTTGACCAATTATCATTTAGTTATATTTTTGTATTGATAAAACATCGGAATCAAACCAATTAGACGGAGGACCTAGTTGCAGACTAAACATGTAGCGCCAGTTGAATAGTCGTATAAACACACACAAATGTGAATAAAAAGAAATGTTTTTGAACCAAATATCAGTTCTCCAACGACGATCTAAAAGCCAATCAACTCCACATGAGTTATCAAAAAAGGAAAAATGGCAGCCTTAAATTTGAAGGGGCTTGAGCCCTTGAAAGTCATGGCCACTGCAAATATGAAGCAAAGACTGATTTTTTTCCTATACCAGCATTTCGCTATTACCAATGGAGTATGGCTTCAGAACACTAACATTATCAAAGCCACAGTTGGAAAAACCCAAACTCATTCAAAACGAAGCCTTAAAGACTGGGCTATACTAAGGAAACTATAGTGATGAGATACGTGCTGGGACTGCCTTCCATTGAGGAAAGACATGCAGTTGCCCAAGCAAAAGCCTACTGAAGAGTAGTGATTGATAAAACCACCCCTTCCAGGATGCCCTTAACGATGAAAATGGATGGAGAATTTAAAGAGGAATGTCATGGATGGCAGAAGCTGAGTCTACCTTTAAGAAGATGTGTGTATTGGAAGGGATTGTACGTGGAGAAGAATGGGTACATAGTTGCAGTGAAATGAACCCGTATGCTAAAATAGTGATCACTCTTGGACGAGAGTACATAGAATGGGCCGCAAGAATAACTGATATTGAGGTCAGACAAATTGCTGATGAAAGTTCGAAACCAGGAACCCCAGTAATTTACACTGGTGGACCAGTAACGAGATGTGAGCATAGCAGATGGACTTTTTCAGCCAGGCAGTATGGGTGTGTTGTTGCTGAACAAAGTGTGGCATATAGTGCCACAACATCAAGCGTGCAGATTAAGATTGAAGTTGCATCAGTTGCCTTGAGATGGCTTGAGGATCAACCTGTCAGACACACAGTAATTTTTACCGATTTACAAAAGAGTCTGAAGAAGCAGTGAAGAAAGATTTGCCGAGCTTGGGTTCGCTGGAGGAGATGGAAGAAAGTCCCAACTGAAAAGGAAAATGCGGCGGACGTACAATCAATATGTCACCGGAAGAATCAACACTCCCACACTTCAATGGCTACTGATCAACATCCCAAGTGCAGGGATGTTGATCCTTCAACCAAGTAACCTCTCTCACCTCAAATGCCCCCCCCCCCCAATGGTTCAACGGTAAGTCTGTAGGCTTAAAACGCTAAAAATCGGCTTTTAATACCCGTGATGAGTAGAGAAGAGATATCCCATGTAGCTTTGTGCTTAGCAATAACTAAATCAAACCAAACCAAACCTTCTCCAGTTCCTGAATCCGCTGGAAATGACATTCAGTGATAAAGGATAAAATTATTTAACTACATTGAAAATAGTGCCACTTAGCAGAGTAAACAGCAAATATAATTTCCTTCATTTAGTTATTTCTTTTATCTTAATAGAAAATTCTAAAACTGCTCCAACAATATGAATAAGTTCTTAAGAGTTAATTGAAGAAACAGGTCATTCTACATTTTACTAAGTTTCAATTTTAAATAAAATTTACATATATATTTCTGCTTTGTAAGAAGAAGCAAATATTAAACTCCGACTTCTTCAACTGCAGTAATATTGTTAACAGCAAAGGTGCGCAACTAAAGATTCAATTCATTTTAATCATCATCAGTTTATAATTCTAGTGAATTAATCCAGGATGTTTATCATATTATGTACTTCGAGTGAAATTATTATACAGTATGGTTTCATTGGTATATAACCTCTTTTACGTTTTGATTTAATCAGTTTTGTGTGTGTTTTCAAACAGATGTTTTTTAATAATCCTTTGTATAACAGAATTGCTGTACTTTAGGTGTGTTTTTTTACTCAGAATTTTCCAACAACAGAAAATCTCTCGTGAAGATATATATTTAGATGTAGAATCTATATAAATATAATAGTACTGTTTGTTGTCTGTTGTATGTCCATGTAACTACTTCGCAGGGTGTGGATGTATCTTCATCCAAACTGGTATGGAGGTTTGTTAGGTCCATGCGAAGATATATGCAAACTTGCGGTTTCACATTTTACGTTTTGCAGTTTTTATGGGCGTTTTTTTACAATTACATATAAGGGAAGCAGCTTTCCATGTTCTAAGATAACCTTTCATTAATCATAAATTTACATAACAGCTAGTTTTTTAATAGGTTTCAAAAAGCGTAAAAAAACACCCCAAAACGCAACAAGCATCCTATAACAACTAATAATTATGATTTTTTTACTCCACTAAACCTCACACGAAAACTTTTAAATTCTTCCAACTTAAAATAATTTGATTCGGTTATTTAATATTTCTAATTTTATTGATTTCATAATTTTCCTTTAATAAATTTATTAAATGTACTAATAGTGTGTGTGTTTTTACAAGTGATGTCATAAGTTACTGCTACGTAGAATGTGAGGAGGTAGTAAACGAGAAGGTAATAAAAGCGTATCTAGCGTTTGCTCCATTATGTTTAAATAGGATTAATTTGAAAATGTTTCTGCCTGTCTGAAATGTTTGGACAGTCATAATTACTGAGTTAATAATGATCTACTATATTAATTTGTGAAATTATATGATGTGTTACTTCTTACATTGTTTAAATTTTGATGTGGGAGTTTGTATTAATAAACATATAAAACTAATAATTTTCAGTGTCAAATATTAGCTAGTGGTCGCAAGGACTTGAATTTGAAAGGAGAAATGTAGTGGCAACAATTACTGAATTAGTACTGTATGAGACTGTTTTGTGATGATAAATTGTAATACTGCCTTAAACTTAAAGTTAATAATATGTAGATCGACGTATTTTGTGTATTTCTTTCCACTCCTGATTGTTATTAATATTATTACTTAAACATTAATTGTCAAGTGATGAGAAACGTACATAATCTTACTCTTAGGCCTTTCGTAAATAATGGCTCGTTAATTATTTCTGCTTCAGCTAAAGGATTTGGTGTTGTTTTAGAGTGGTCCAAACAATCACTTAATATTTCATAGTATAACATTAACAATATAACTAAAATGAGTAAAATCTGCCCGTGTTATGTATAGTCGATTAATCTGTAAGTACCTGTGTATAATTATAAATTGAAATAATCTCAGAATCTAAACTAAATTTAGAGTTTCATAAGTACCATCCAAGAAAGATGTTTCTTGAATTGTAATTTCTCTAAATTCTCTTATGCTTTTATTTTTAAGGACTAATAATGTTGAGAGAATTTTTCTTATTAAGAAAATCCTGAACAATCTGTATGATTGGGCCAGTACTTCACAAGGTGGGCTGGGTTCAGTAGTATTACTAGTATGAAGTTATACACTAGGGGTATGTAGGTATTCGAAAGATGTTTTTCTTTTATAAGAGAAATATCAGTTTTGTGGAAAAAGAAAAGCTTATAACTGTGATTGTTGATAAATACTTAAAGTTGAATAATAATAACTTCCAATCAGTGAGCTATGTACTTAGAACAAAACTAGAAATAAACAATATTTTTATTTTACATTTCAACTTGTAAAAATAATGCATTGTTTCATCAGCTGGATACTTTCACTGTTAATGATATTTTTCATCGTAACTCAAATGATATCTCGTGAGACTTGGCCAGCTTAAGAGATTTAGGTTAGTCGAAAATACAAATTCTAAGCTAATACAAAACTATCTTGATAGTAAAAATTTGATAAACAATCAAAATAAAAAAGTAATGATATTATAGACTCTCCTTTTAGTGGTTTACTTTAGATTAAAAAAAAACTTTAAATTTGATGCTTTGAGCTGTAAGGATCTTTACTTGCACCTGTTTTTTCTCTTTACTTCAGTGAACTCAGCATCCACACTGATATTCTTTGTAAGCTTCCATTGCTTTGATTTAGTAAGTTAAGTTTGTTTAAGCCTTTGTTTTTCTTAGTTTTTGTTTTTTCCATTTTATTGTACATTGTATGTTAGTAACTTTGCTTTTAGATACATTTGTTCTTTGTGAAGTTAAATAAATCATTCATCATGAAAAAAATAACTAAAATGTGATAAGGGATTGTGTAAAAGAAAAATGTCGAAAGCTCTGAAAATATTTCAGAAGGAGGGTAAGAGGCCCAGTCTTTATAAATTTCTGGAATTATTAATGCAATAGATTCTGTTGATTGTGGGTTGTGTATATGACCATTATTTCTGCTTATTTATAAAGTTTTTCACTGTCTATGAATGGAAACATTTGTTTGTATATGTTAGTGGTTCAAAAGTTAGTGTTTTATGAAATGATCATAAACTTAAAACATGTTAGTGCATTAAGTTTTATATCATTAAAATTAGAACCATGATGCTGCTGTTTAAATCATGACAGTCTTATCATGGTCCAAAATATTGTTAAAAGCGAGTGTATCCAACTGATGAAACAATGCAAAATAGAATCTTTATAAATATAAGAATGATATATTTAATTAGCTTTACTCATTACCAGGGTAATTTTTAGTTTCACTCTAACTTACTTTCATCAGAAGCTAATGTTAATTGTTTAACTATTTTATAAAACTAGCATTTTTTTTTCAATTGTCATGGTTTCATAAGCTTTGTTTTTGTGCCTAACCGTTAAATTCTTTTTCAAATAAAAACAAACTAATAAAGTGGTGAAAATTAAAGCAGTATATGCAACAATTGGAACATACATGTACCATTCATGCACATTTTTCAATATTCAGGACAGAATTAATATATTTTTTGCCTAATATATGTTTAAAGATTGACATGTAAGAAATTGTAAACTCAAATTTGTAGGTCTTTTAGCATATATCATGTTATATATCTAGAGCCATCTGTAGGTCTTTTAGCATATAGCAGGTTATATATTTAGAGCCTCAAAAGACATTCACATGACCCAAGACAAAAAAAAAAGTGATCATAAACTTGTTACTTTTGAACTCTCTTTGAAAGTAGATTTTATAAGTGATTGTTATTTAACAGAAAGTTTTGTGGTAGTAACATTTTAAGATAGTGTTGAACGAGTAGAAAAGATAAGTTTTGTGTGCTAAAAAGGTGCATACGTTTCATCTTGTTAGGCTTGACAAAACAACAGTATTTTAATAAATATTACTAATGTACAAAACATAAGTATTGATACATCATTGTTTTCACTTGAATTGTTATTAAATTAAAATTGTGTTTGTTTTTAATTTTTTCATTATATTGCAGCTTTAAGACAGTAATAAATTGTCTTTCATCAGTAGGCCTAGATCATGTTAGTGATGCAGAGTTTATTATTGTAGACTGTTCGATACAAACCATATAACATACCTTGTCATTTTGTTATAAGACATTTAAAATATTTAACTAAAAAAGCCTCGAGAAATATTCAATCTTCATATGTAATACAAACCTTCCCATTTGCATTAGTCTTGAAATGATCATCACACTTTTAATGTAGCTTATTTCCAGATCACGAGATTTGAGTGAAGCCTGCCAGTAATTCAATAAAAAACTCACATTTTATTATGTGACAAAGAGAAACTCAGAAGCAAGGTGATGTTGTAGGTTTCAGTATTAAAAACGAACTACTTTCAGCCTTATTACTTTTATTCTAATTGATATTTATTTTAAATAGTATGTTTTTAATTCAGAAGTGCAAGAGGTAGTAGGATTTTTAACAGATGTTTTGATTTCATTTTGTAGTGCATGATATCAAGGTGAAATACTTTTGGAGTTTTCTGAAGGAAAATGATGCTTGGAGGAACTCCAGGGCCTACAAACCCTAACAGCTCCTGGCTAAGTAGCAAGGGAATGTGGTTAACTTATGGTGTTGGAATCTTAGGACTACATTTGGTATTATTAAGCTTTCCATTCTTAAGTGTGGCTTGGGCATGGACACTTACGAACGTCGTTCATAACACGGTATGTATAATTAATGCAGGAATTCATTTGAATAAGTTGGTTTATAAACAGAATAATATTTTTCACTGTCTTACGAAGATTTGTCAGAAGTGTCGTGGTCGTGACTTTTGTGGCCGAGTGGAAATTAAAGGCCTATTATTTACATGTATGTTTCGATTTAATTGGTTACTTCTTCGACAGGAATATATTGTTGTAATGTTGTTGTTTTAAATTATCAAGTGAAAATAATTTAATGTCCGGTCCACTCAAGGAGGTGAAATTAGTTTATTTCTTCCTTTTAACATTTCTACAAGCTTGAAGTTGAACATTACCATAAAATGTTTACGCCATCATACCTCTAACAACAGTACTAGGACTAATGTGCAACCAATCCATTAACTTGTATCAAGTAAAACAATAACTTATTTTGGCTAACTTGATCCCTAAGGATGCTGTTTTATAATATACCCTTGTTATAGAGGTTTCTAGGACTAACATTAACTTAACATCACATTACATCATCAAAAATCCACAGCTCCCTCTAGCTAACAAATAAATTACAACATTAAAAAATTAAACTTGTAACAGTATTGCTGCAGCTGGCTGCTACACCAGTGACTTGTAAGGAGGATCTTTTAACAAAATGCTAAAATTTAGGAGCATTCATTTTGGTATAATAGTGATATATGTTTGAAAAGAGTACTTTTCATGGAGTGATTACAAACTAAAATATTGAAAATAAAAAATAATTAAGTGCTAATTTTTTGTCACTTTAACTTGTATCCAATTTACTCAGTACCAGGTAGATTTGTGTGAATGGTACTTGAATTTAAATTAATTTATAGAACAAAATTTAGGCAGAATATGAATCAGTTATGTGTGGTATTAGTTAGGTGTGCGTGGGTGGGGTCAAAGTGGGCATGCCACAACTTTTTACAATGTTACATTAGACATTTAACAACTTTATTGTCAATGTATGTCAATAAACATGACATGAAAATATAGTTGATAAGTTAAATTTTAACATGATACAAGTTTTAGTTTCTCAGTTTTAAAAGGAGGTATTTAAATAAATTCTCAATCTTGACTTCATGTAACACCTCTTCACTCCGAATTGCCCATTTTAGAAATTATTACCTCTTTATGATATTCTGGGTTTGGCACAAGTCACGCTTATAGTACATATATATAGTTAAGCCATAATATAAAGTCATAGCTTCCAGTATTCTTCCTTTACTGAGATATACACAAGAAAGTCAAACTTGCATGCCATGCCCTACTATCACATCCTGTCTTTAAATAAATGTCAATAACTCTCTATGACATTTGCTATTGGATTATTTATAACTCATAGAAAGGGGAGATTTTAATTTACTGAGTTTCCTATTAAAGTTGCTTATTGTGATGACAGTTTCTGAATTATTTTGCTTCAGCTTCATTGTTTGTTATTGTGGAGATCACCTTGACCAACTAATGGAATTATATTTAACCCACATATAGGAAGACAGTTAAGTGTTAATAGTTGTAGGACATTGTTTTTTTTTGTGTTTATGAACATTTTATTTTATAAATTGCATACTTGAAATAAATAAATAAAGTACGACCAACAACCCTACCTTTTGTATATTTTGTGTTTATTAACTTTTTATTTTATAAATTGCATACTTGAAGTAAATAACCTCGAGACTTTGAGAGCACAAACTTGAAAAAGTAGGAGTTCAAACTTGCGAGTAAATACTGAAATTCTTCTACTTTTTCTACGGTATATTTATTGTTATAAAAATAACCATAAAGTGTATAAAATTTAGAAACTTTAATGAAAAACTTAATTTAAAAAAATTATTAATGACAGCATGTGAGTATCGTTAGCAGACATTAATCGTAATTTGACTGTATGTGCTAGTAATTTATTCTTTGTTTACACAAAGCTGCTACAGTGTAATAAATTACTTTTGACATACTCAGTTGTAAACCGATACGTTTTAGTGGCACCAAGATTTGAAAAGTATTATTGTGTAATTGTCTGTTACAATAATAGTTATTACAGAATAAAGAAAGGTAGCTTAGATTTATTTTATCTTTTTCAACTTACCCCACTTTACTGATTTTACTTCATTAGTGTTAGGGTAAAGAAAGTAATATGAAGTTTTACTGAAAAAAAGACTTCTGTAACTCGTTTAGAAGGTTGTGGAGGGCAATGAAGAATTTAAGAATCTTAAGTAAAACTATTTATTAAAAATTGATTATTTATGTATGCTGTACTTGTAATGTCTAGTAAAACCTTACCCAATTTCATGAAGATGCACGTTATAAATAATTCAGAATTATAGAAAACATTAATTTGTCAGTACACTTTCTGTCCATTGGATGGACTTTATGCACATAGGGTTAAGATCCAGTCGAAATATGGTGCAACTCACTTCGATAGAGATGAAAGAGAAAGCTTAATTTATATATAGATTTGAAATGAAAGGTTACTTAACACCACAGTTTCATGACCATATCGGGTACTGCAGTTTTAGGCCATGTCAACTCCTCATTGTAATGTATATACATCTATATTTGTTTTTCTTTATTCTATAGGACTTTGTGAAGCTGCTCACCCTGCTTTAATGATCACGTTTTTTAGTATTTTATCAATATGTCAGAAATGTTAACTTAACTTAGGGCAATATTTTTACTATCAAACCAGTTAGGCTGATTGGAATTTAAGTACAGCAACTACAAGAAGTAGTACATGGGTGGATGTGAACCATGATGTCTAGAGCTGGCTGAACAGTGTAAATAAACATTCACATTATAACAATATGAAAACGAATGTATAAACGAGATCTATAACGTGTTTGTGACTGTCACTTTCTCCCTGGAGGTTGGTAAGGTAGCATCCAAAGCTGCTTTTTTATTCATTGTGATATGATAAATTTCTTGATTGTTTTTTCAAACAAATACAGTTTTTTTTTTTTACCTTGTAAATAGATTAACATGAAATATTAGAAGCACTTGGTTGACTTTTCTGTGAGGTTTTAGTTGTTAAATCAACTTTTCTATGTTTTATTCAATGAAGTAAATATGTACTTGAAACAGGTTTCATTTGGATTGTTATTCTTACTGTATTATATCTTTGTACAGGGAATGTTTATTCTGCTCCACATTATTAAAGGAACACCCTGGGAACCCGGAGACCAAGGAAAGTCTTATTTCTTAACTCACTGGGAACAGATTGATAATGGAGAGCAGTTTACCAAAACCAAAAAGTTTTTAACTGTAGTTCCTATCGTCTTGTGAGTTTCTTGTCTTCTAAGTACTATAACACTAGAGTTTGTTGCATTTTACCATTAATTTCTGATAAATTTAACCCAGGAATTACTGTAGCTAATGTAATATACTCATCTAAGCAGGAGTATTCATAGTCGTAAGACAAAAACTTGTAATAAGTAGGCTAATGCATTGATTTATCAGTTGTTACCCTTGCCGTTAGTGATGTTTTTGTACTAACTTTTAACGTGATTGTGCTAATGTAATATACTCATCTAAGCAGGAGTATTCATAGTCGTAAGACAAAAACTTGTAATAAGTAGGCTAATGCATTGATTTATCAGTTGTTACCCTTGCCGTTAGTGATGTTTTTGTACTAACTTTTCAATGTAATTGTGCTAATGTAATATACTCATCTAAGCAGGAGTATTCATAGTCGTAAGACAAAAACTTGTAATAAGTAGGCTAATGCATTGATTTATCAGTTGTTACCCTTGCCGTTAGTGATGTTTTTGTACTAACTTTCAATGTAATTGTGCTAATGGTAACAGTGTACTAAATTATATTTTAGATTGAAAATCTAAAACTCTGCTTTGTAAAAAATAACAAAAATATTACATATATACCCACTTTTTTTTCCCATTATTTTGTACACTTTAATAGGGCACTGATGGATTTGTAATAGATTTTTGTTTAATAACGTATTCAATATTAAGTTGAGAACGAGCGGCAGAATTGTGTATAATTTGAATCACTGGGATATTTCTTTCGGACATTTTATGGTCAGATGCAACAACTATAATATAACTTTGTTCGTGTAAGATTTTTTTTGGTATAAAAGTAAAACAGATTTGCATAACAATTTAAAACTGTTTCTTAAAGCTGTTAGTTACAAAGCATGCTTCACAATAACCTTGTACATAATATTGTTTTCGTAGTTTCTCTCTCGGAGTTAAGTTAACGAAGCTTAAGAGAAAATAACTCAATACTTGTGAATATGTAAGATTTTAACCACATTTATTGGTTAGTAGTTCAGCTCAAATCTGTTTTTTGTTTGTTACGATTTTACTATACATCTTTAGGATAAGCTTTTTTAATCTGTTTAAGAACTTGCTGGTGTTATACCTGTCTTAGAGTACAAGACTTTTACTCAGTCATGATATATTTGTTATAAGGAGAAACACAAAATAATTATGATAATATTGAAGAATCGTGTTGATTTGATTCAACTGGTTAGTAAACTCTTTCATTATAAACATTTTTCTGAAACTTTTCAATCCACAGATGGCGCAGTAAGAAAATAAGAGGATATGATATTTGAGAATTTAGTGACTGTTATTCAACATTAGATAAAAATCTAGTTTTAGTTACAACTTTCTATCGGTCATCTATTGAATTTTTATTGTATTCTAACAAGGATTTGCTGTTCTCGTCTCCAGGTAATGCTATTGTGTTATAAACACTGTTAGAACTTTTGAAAATGGCAAGTAAGCTGGTTTTCATCTTTTCCCGGATGTAATAGAACAAACAACTTATGGTATTTTTAGTTCTTTGCCTTATATCCTAAATGATAGTAAGGACAAGAGAATAAAAAATGTTACGTTAAAGGTTGTAAAGTTGTCAAAATATTACAATAAAAAAATCAAAAGAAAGAATAAGTCAGATGAAAAAAAGGGGAAGCAATGAAACTCGAGGGAAAGAAAGTTATGGCTCAAACTTTCTTTTATACAATGTTTTGTAACTCTGCATGGTTTTTGTATGAAAGATTCATTAAACTGTAAAATGAACACTGAAAAACGAACAGATAAAAAAAACTAGAATTTTCACAAACAGAGAAGTCTAGTTTATAGCTGTGATATCAATACATTATTTGCGATGCACTGAAATACAGGTTCACTGAATAACTATGACAAGGATATTTAATACACAAGAAGGAAGGGTTAATAACAATATGATTTCACTATATTTTAATTGTATATTTGTTTCATGAATGAAAATACCAGCATGAGGAGTGAGAGAATGAATTCATTGGATCACAGTATGCTAATTGATAAAATATTTAAAGTTATTTATTAACTGACGCAATAATTCAGCATTTGAGAAATATGCCAAGACAAAAAAGGTCTTCCAAATTACTAAATTAATTTTGTATCTAAGTGTTGACATTAATAGCTTTAGTTAATTAGTCACATAAACGTTTGTGTTCATATTCACGTTAGGTTTGTGTTTTTTTGTATTGTATGCTGCTCTTTAGCACATTCACTTAAAAATCTGTCATCATTATTTGATACAAGTAAAATCAAATCTCGGCCAAATGAACACTTTTATAATATTGTGAATGTAAACTAAAATGTTCAAATATTTTTTATATCTTATAAAAGTTTTAATTGTCAGATCTAGATAAATCACGAACAACCTGCACATGTGAAAATTAGCAGAAGTCTAGTTCAACTCTGTTGTGAACTATTCTTATCCTGCTTCGTGTCCAGTCATAAAAGTATTTATTGATTAACTTGATGCAGCAAAAGTGTTAGCTTCTTGTGATCTTTGTTAAATTAGTTTTAACTCCTCTAGTATGGATTGGTGTAGCTTGGCAACGGTGTGGTGTTTTAACTTAATAGTATAACACAGTTTATGTGTTATCAAATGTGAAGCAAGGTAGTTTGGATTTAATACAAGATAAATATGTAGATAATAGTGGGGGAGGGGAATAAGTTGCTTGTAGTTGACTGTCGATAGCTTCCAGTCCATTGTTGCTGTGGTTTTGACGTGAATAATAATTCAATGTCAACAAACTAGCAGGGAAATGGATATGTGTGTGTGAATATTTTCAATAAAATCTTAACCATAGCTGCTGTAAGAATAAAGTTGAATGTAAAAGTTTACTAAAATGGGTTACAACAACCAAATTTGGACATTTTCAACAATGTCTTTTACTTGATGCTTCATCTTGTCAAGTAGGATGGGTTACAACAACCAAACTTGGCTATTTTCAACAATGCCTTTTACTTGATGCTTCAGCTTATTAGAAAAGATGGGTTACAACAAACCATTTTCAGTTATACCTTTCAGCAGCTTAGCATGCCAGACTGTAGATCTGAGGGTTTGTATCTTGCATTTCTTTGTACAAAAATGGCATAACACTTCATTCATTTTCTCCTTTTGATGGATTTGGTTGCCATTTCAAGTTTCCCTTTGTCACTGCCTCTGTGCCTATTTTCAAAAATTTACAATTATGTTTGAGGGATTTCTAAAATTTTCAGAACAAAAGAAAATATTGAAACATGTACAATATAAAAACATACGTTTCTTTGGAAATTCTACTCTCTCAAAAGTTAAACTAATTTTTATACAGCTTTCAAAGCCAACAAAACAAATGCAGTCTGTCTGGCATGGGGATCGTTGTCAGTAATGCTAAAGCTCATAAAGTAAACTGGGTTACAACACCCAAACATAGCTCACTTTTGATGAGTTGTGTTACTTAATACTGAAGCTTATCAGTTAGTTGTCCTTTGTTATAACAACAACTAGGCCACTTCTGATGAGTTATGTTACTTAATACTGAAGCTTATCAGCTAGTTGTCCTTTGTTATAACAACAACTAGGCCACTTCTGATGAGTTATGTTACTTAATACTGAAGCTTACCAGCTAGTTGTTCTTTGTTATAACAACAACTAGGCCACTTCTGATGAGTTATGTTACTTAATACTGAAGCTTACCAGCTAGTTGTCCTTTGTTATAACAACAACTAATCTTAGGCCACTTCTGATGAGTTATGTTACTTAATACTGAAGCTTATCAGCTAGTTGTCCTT